GCTCCACACGCGTTTTTTTATTTGAACCGGGTATAAACATGAAATAAAGGCAGGAAATATTCCATATGTAAGCCCCTTACATTCACTTAGGAATTATAAATTCCGTTGAATGAGAGCATGATGGATGGAACCTTTTACAAGTTGACTTTATTGAATCCCCGATCAACCTCTATCCAAGGGTTTTGATGAATTTGAATGAATTCATGGACAGACTGATCAGGTAAGGAAATTGAATGACAATTTCGTGATGCTCAAATGCATATGACAGGGATCACTTAACTTTAACGAATTTGAACGAGCCATGCGTTAAACTGAAATTGGCAAGGAAAACACACTGTATACACACTGCTAAAAAATACATTTCTATAAGACTCTCCTGTTGGTACGCCTATACAGACAGAAATGGACAGTAGAATGTGCTGTCCCAAAACAGCAGCTTCTGTAATGCCAACTGACAATAGAATCTACCGTTATTTAACAGACTGTGTCCGGTATCAGACATAATAAGGGGTATTATTCTGCCATTTCCTTAGTTTTATAGTTGAAACAAGCCCTTTACGATCGGTACAACATCGTGGCTTACAGATTTCACTAAGTTTTAGACCTTTTCAGGTTTCAGTGGAAGGGAATACAAATATAAACGCTGAACTGAATCATGTATGACGAACGTATTTTCATGTCGACTATTATTTTGCCATAATTGAAGATATAAGGGTTAACTTTATTTTGTAATAGTCAAACAAAACCCTGGCTGCGCACCTTCGCCAAGAACATGCGCAATCGGCCCTCAACTTGTAGAAATCCAGCCGATGATTTCATACATCTTCAAAACACACTGAATCACATGTCATCAAAATTAGGAAAAGGATAACGAGAACCAGCGATTGAGCCGGCGTCTTCAGGTCCTAAATGAATGGTCGACTGGACTCGTCTAACACATCCATCGTTTGGATGACACTGTCGACGGACGTTTACTTTAGTTGACGCCGGAACTTGCCCCTAGATTGTAGGAAAAGTAATCTTCGTCCATTGCTTAGCCTTTCGTCAAGGCGCTTGCTGCGATCATTGAATAGGCCTATAAGCCACGGTGCATACGAGGCACGAACAGTATATCTTGCATGAGGTATGACTAGTGCGCCATTCGATTTTACCACTGGTTTCAAATAGCAACTTTGGTCCCTTCTCCCACTGAGAAAGGTTACTGCCAGCTGGTCCCGTATTCCACAGGCAAATAAGTCTTCTTGGCGAGGGCGCAATGTCAGTTCGTGGGCGTTCGTGGGAAGTCAATAGTGGCGCCGCTTGACTTGGTTTGCTGCTCATAGGTATAAATACAGCAAAGATTGATTCACACGCATTACCCAGTTTCCTCTGTATATAGAGAACTGTGTATACACGTATTTATTTAACTGTCAAGTGATGAACGAACCCCAGCTTGGTATTATTAATGCATCCGCTGGGGTTAGTTCTGTTGTTCGTAATGAACCTCTAAATTGCGTCAAGGCAAGTAATTTGCAAAGCTTCCAGAAATGTTTATTTTCGTGTTCACGAAAAGTATGATTACTGTTATGACCTTGCTGTGAAAACCGTCAGCTAGTCGTTTCTGATTCACTGTAAGCGCTACTGCACGGGGAAGAGGTCAAACTGCATGTTAAACGCAGGGTACGGCTGTCCACGAACAAGTAAGAAACCTAATAAAACAATTATTTCTCTAATCTGGGGGTTTGGTGCGCATAGTGAGATTTGCCGGAGGGAACTGAATCGGGACTGGATATTTACTGAAAAATTTCACTTGTTAGGTTGTAGATTTCAGTAAATTCCACAGATTATAATCAAAAACATGAACGAACATTAAGAAGATGACCCGTCGTGTGCATAAAAGCGCCTACCTTAGACGAGTTTGCGCTCTTCGTGTCCGTGTGTCGGTGAAGAGCGTCCATCGAAATACTGATGTGGAGCCAATCATAAATTGATGTGTGCAGTGGCAAAAGACGAATGTAATAACCCCTAACCTGTTCTTTCAAACTTGGCCATTTAGAATTCTGCGGGTTTCAATTACTAGTTCAAATTTATATGCGCTCGGAACAACTATTGAATGACTTATTTGTTTTATTTCTGGACAGATGGAACACATAAGCACAGGGATTTTTGCTGATCACAGTGAGGTTTTCGTCTATAACGACAAGTACAATTCGGAGCTTGAGGGAATCTCAGACCGGAACAATGAGTCAAAAAGTTATAAGTTGTGACAGTCTCTGCAAGAAATGAATTCAAGAATTTCAGTTCAGCTTTCGATTATTGACCAGTTTTAAAGGGGTGCAGGTGGCCAAGTGGTTATCAGAGTGCACTGAATTAATTGAAGCCCCATTGAAGACAATGTAAAATCGACCACGTTTGCAGCCCCGGTGCGGGCAACCGAAGTCCCTCGGGGTTCTCAAACAAAAAACAAAGTGTTCTGGAGTCATTCAGCTCTCAATTGATTTTCAATTTTAAGTGGGTTAACCAAAGAAATTTTGAGTTATCCACTCAAAAACAAACTCCCCTCCAAAAAAGTGAACGTTCCCAAGTCTGTCAGCGGCCATTTTTCAAATGACATCCCTCCACCTTTTCAGGCTCTTGGGACAATTTTTCAGTAGCATTTTTCTATGCTTCGCCCTGGGATGGGAGCCTTTGAATCTATACGGAGTTCGTTCTGGGCCATTCTTCCATAATTCCACAAATTCTTGGGCCACAAAATCTCCTCTTTTTCAAATAAACTGCAGGGGTACTTTTTGAGCGCCTCCGCCTGGCGAAGAATTTCCCGTGAATTGGGCAGTTTACCCAGGAGATATTTGTGTCTCCTGACCACGAGGGTCAAGGGTTCCAATCCAGCTGCTGGCTCTGAGTTATGTGGCCTTGGGCAAGCCACTTAACCCTTGCTTGGATCTGTCCACTCAGCATAGCTTTGGGGGCAACCTGTAATGGACTGGCATGCATCCCATCCACAGAGAAACATAAATTATTCTCAGTCGTTTCGTGCCAAGGAAACCAGAAAAAATCACCAGTTTGTGCGATAACCCTAATGCCTCGGTCCAAATTTGCTTGTTTTTTCCCTAAAGAGTATGCAATATTGCTAAAATGTACGTGCTTGGCGATATTTGACTGAGTGGCATAACACCTGTGCAGGCAAGTGGGGGGGAATCAAAATCCTGATTAATTGCCTGGGCAACACATCACAGCTAGGGGGCGCTCTTCCTGATACACAAAATGGAATGCGTACGTTGTACATGTATGTAAATGTTTGCTTCCCGTCCCGGAAACGGGGGGGGGGGAGGAATCCGATACCCGTCCCCGTATTCTCCCCATCAAGTCCCTGCATTATGTAAACAATGACATTAAGTATAATAATAGGACTTTTCTACACCTATGAAATGACAGCATGCAAGACACCCATAGATCTGACGTAAATCGAGGGGGATGCAAGGGGGGGGGGCATACCCATACCAAAAGGAGCAGGGGGGGGGTAAAAATGAGAGAAAGTTATGAGAGACACCTTCGCTTCATTTCCTTCAAGTAGCATGGCAAAAGCTCCATATTTAGCCTAACCCCTCAGAAATGCCATAAAAGTTACAAAACGATTCGGACATTTCTGTCCCCCCAAGCAGTTTGGGCTCCCCCCGCCAAATTTGGTTCTGGATAAGTTCTTTTCAGCTCATAATCTAGACCCCCATCTATTGAATACTTAAGAAAGCGTGTTGTTTTAAAGTTCATACATACAAGATTTTGTCTAACAAATGTTTATTGTTATTTTTCAATATTATTTAAAACTATCTTATTTATGTATTTTTTTCAGATAACATCTTAGGAGAGCCTCACAATTAAGTGATTAAGTGAACTTCGCTTCTTGGCAATCCGGGGGGGGGGGCTACCAGCTTGTACTATGTATTTTGTCATTTTCTATGTCTCTGTTTACAAACTTTATTTGTCGTCTCCTTCTTGATACCTGAGAAATAATAAATAAAATGAAACTCAGTTCCCCACCCACACCACACTTGTACTTTGAATACAGACAATGACCCCTGTATTTTGTCCCAACCCTTCTCGTGTATTCGGGGTAATGCCCTCAAGGTCAGTCACCCCAACGAATACATCGTAAGTTACTACGTACAAACCAGAGGGCGTGATTTTTATCTGCTTTGTAAAATGCACACAGGGCCTAAGTGCCAGGCGCTTTCAGAGGCTTTTTTCACTTCCCCGTTCGATGCAAGGATATTTATCGGATCCACTCTAGAAACCCCTTGGCATACTACGCTGGCGTGACTTTAAGTCCATCAGATGTTATCTATGTGTCGTTTCGGCAAATGTCAGGTACAAGAGGAATTTCCGATGTTGCACTGAATTTTAATCATGGAATGGATTCAACAAGGGGTTAAGATCTCACCTTATTTTAGAACTTACTTTTTTAAATGAAAAAATGCACGATTTTCATTTCCGTCATCAGATCGAATTTCCAAATCTCATATACCGTCATCTTTCCCCCAAAAATCTGTAAATCTGATAACCTGAACTGTTCACGTTTTAGCTTATTCTACAAAATCGGTTTTCAAAAACTCAAGTGTATTCTCATACTTGATCCAAATTTAGTCTGGGCAGCATCCTCAGTTTGCTGAGCCCACAGTAAATGGCTACTTAGCCGACGTGTAATAATTTCACACGGCCTTTTCACGCTGCCATCTGCCAGTACAAATTTCTACACCGTGTGATATTGTGTTTGGCCATCGTTATGAGGTGGGACTCATTTGGTGAATTTACCAAAAGCCGTTATCACCGAACTGAAGGAAGGTCTCTATAGGGGGCACCGCCATTACACAGTACCCACAATGTCGTAGCATCAGTATGAGCCGTCACCAAGTGCATGGCCATGACAATGTCTTGCTACAATTCAACAGGGACCAACACATTGAAAAGGCTGCTTGTGCACGTCTAGTGAATCATGGAAGAATGTTTCGAAGGAACTGCAGCATACTGTAATTACTTTATCACTTTTTATTTCAAGTGGACGGATTACAACGAAAGTATGACCAACGCACGGCAGAAGGGCCAAGAATATATATATATACAAAGGTCATCTGTTCCTATATAGAAAATTTTGAAGTTGCCTGCTTGTAAAAACAAAGGTTTTCTCGTTATAATTGCTTAAGGATTCATCCACTAAAAAATAAAACGGAAGAAAAATTCCGCGAAATTGGAGAGTTTCTGAAAATGATAATAAACCTCCAGTAGATATTACCACAGGCAAAGTTTTAGTGACAAAACCTCACTGTTTATCACTCAGTTATTGACTGTTTTCAGTAGAGAGCAAACTACAAGTATATTTGAGGTGTAACAAACTTTGGAATATTTTTCATTGCAAATTCTATGGACGGATTTCACCAGGCACTTGTCATTCACGATATTATTTCAATCCACTAGAAGAAAATCACAGTAATGTATTTATATATATATTCATATACATCTATGAAAAATATCCACAAACCTTCAAATAAAAGAAATCTCATTTGGACAGAAACAAAGTAAACAAGGTATACTTTGGATTACAAACAAGCAATAAAAATGGATCCATATGATGCGAAACACTTGGCCAACTGTACATGAAATGAAATAAACTGTCAATTACAAACGCAACATGCAAGAACAATACAGCCAGCATTTTTCATTAGTTGAATTATGAACCCGCCGACTCCAAATAATGCAATTTTAGAAGAAAAAAGAAAAAAAATTGGCACTTTTTTTATTCCCGATGGTCTTTTTTTTCTAGTGTTTTGAGAAAAAAAGGGGACTAAATTTATTTTTCCTCCTCTGATAAGTTAATTGTAGGGGAAAAATGGAACTCAAGAGTTTTATTTTTTTTTCTGTCCTTGGACCCTGCAAAATTTCATGCTATGTTCGTAATCCAATAAATAAATGCTGGCCTATCTGTCAACGTGAGCCGACTTATTGCATTGGCAGAGATTTGCTAATCTAATACCCAAAGAGCTCAATTCTCAAATGCAATAATGTGGCTTTATACACTTCATCACACCAAGCTAGTATTCTGTTTCAACATAAATTCATTTACGCACACAACACGCACAATACTCCCCCAGGTCTTCAGCCACACCTTGTGCAGTGAGACTGACTGAATTAGGTTAAAACAGAGAGGAGCAAGTAGTAAAAATTTAACCAACGCACACGACAGCTGTGCACAGTTTACAACTCATGTGCACTCTTGGAGCATCAATCCAACTCAATCGTCCAGCTGGCACAACAGTGCCACTCCCCTGGTGATCCACAGATCGGCAGGGAGCGACGTAGGCAGATGAATGGCAGTTACAAAGTTGGTGGAGTGACCGGTGGAGGACAGGGTGCCGGCACGCTGCGAGGTGCGATACAGAGGGCACTCGTACATGCCACCGGTCCAGGCGGGAACTCCCTCTGCTTGGGTGGGGTTAGGGGTGGGTGCGGCTGATGAGACAGAGGGCGGGGCAACTCCTTCTGGAGAAGCCTGAAGAAAAAAAGAGGATGGAATTGGTTGAATTTCAAAAGGGAGTGAGAAGCCATACTAAGGTATGTAATTGGCAGAAAACCATTTCGTGATGTATCCTGATGTAAGGGTGTGAGACTACAAAACCAGATTTTGGCTCACTTGGCTGGTAGTAACTTTATGGCTCAATTGGCACAAGTTTCTACAAAGCTTCAGGCCATGGTATGCTTTATAAAAATCCAGAACCCCATATTTTTGTGACTTTGTGAACTGCTCGTATAATTGAGATACAAATGAGTCTGACAGGAAATATACTTTTTAGTTGAATTCTGTAATATTTCTGATAAAATTAAACCCAAAAAATTTACCTGGACTGGGATGAAATGGACCTCTGGTAAACGGCAGAACCGCTCCTCTGGTCTGGAGTCCTGAAGCATGTAGGTAGCTGGGTCAAAGCGTGCTCCGTCCAGGAACAGACCAAACACAAGTACCCCATCTGCAGGAGGGCTGGGACCCTGTTCAAATGGACATCAGCAGGCAGCATTAATGAACTTGAAGAATAACAAGACTAGTGGCTCAGCAGACTCGTTCTTTTCACTCTGACTGGAAGCACCCCCTCATTGCCAAAGGCGAGAGAGGTCGGTGGGAACCATTTCGATTTGAGCCACGACATTTCACAAAAATCCCAAGCATAACAACAGAAAGTGGTCGCACATGCTCAGCACAGCCATTGCCAAAGTCTTATGATTCAATTTGAAAAATGTCATCTGTTGTTTCTGCATGGAGTGGATTACTGATGAATCCTGCAACTATGGTTACGGTGTTATCAGAAATTCCCACAAATCACTTCAATAGCAAAAGGCACAGTGAAAACTTCATGAATAAAGTGTTTTGTCAATATGCACAAAAGCAAACATAACACCTTCGGCCATTGATGGGGTCCACTGGGAATATAGGGTGACAGCGTCACCAATTTCATCGGCAGAACAAAAGATGGAAGACAGCCTGAGTGCTATATCATTAGGCCTGGAAGGATACTGTCAGGAGAGGCAGAGTCTCCCCTTCTAACTTTACTGAGCCAACTATTTTGCTACATGCACCTCACAGCGCAAATGATCTCAAGAGTAACTGACCTTGAAGGCAACTTCTCTCACATTGATTGGCTCCTCCACATTGCTGAGTGTCTCTTCAGTGTCTTCAACCCCTGCCATGACCTTGAAGTCAAAGGTCAATGAATCTACTGACACACCTTCTTTTCTGGCGTGGTTCTGGAGAACCGCAGTCAGGAAACCTGTTAAAAAAGTGTATAAAAGGACTAAAATACAAATTAGGAAAACTGCTTTGCTGACTAGATTCTATCACATTTCCACAGAAAAAGCACAAGAACTTATTTTCGAGGACCCGTTTTGAACAAAAGATTGACTTCATATGATAGGAGAAATCTCATGCTCCTTGTGTGTATCCATCCTCTGTGGGCAAGCTGTATAAACTCCCAACCACATGGTGGAGTTGTTTGTTATGTGCTGTAAGCAGGTTGATGGGTTTAGTAGCATGCAATAAACATTCAAATGCTATTTAGCATTGGGTTTGAATCCTCCCATAAACTGTCACAATGCTAAAACTTAACAAGCATTCTGTGTACTTATAAGGGGTATCACGTCCCATGTTAAATTTAATGGTCAGTTTCAATGTGTACCTTTTTACATCATACAACGTCTGCAAGACCAAGAGGATATGACAGACCTCTGAGAGTTTAGGAAAAACTAAAAGTCCTGAACGTAAACCTTCTTACTTTAATGGATACAACATGTGGGTTACGAGCACAGGGATTTTACAAACTGTGGGCTAAAAATAAAAGAGGATATATAATTAACTGAATCTTTGTGATTCCATACAATACAATACTGTATATATTTTCTCCTCTTAAGGTACAGGATGTCGACCAGTATCTCTAAGTCTTTGCTGGTGATGAAAAGACAGACATTTCTTTTTGAAAGGAGAGGGGGGAAGTGGGGAGAATACTGACCTTGAGGGAAGAAGAACCCCGGCAGCCAAAAGCTGCGAGGCTGTTCCCGCAGGGCATCCAAGTCGGCTGGCTCCGCTGTCTGCTGGTTTTGACCTTTGGCCTTTCGTTCCTTGGCCTCCGACACCAAATCTGACCACTTGCTGAAGAAGTCCACTCTGCGCTGGAGGTCGGCCACCCAGGAGCCCAGGGGCTTGCAGGATTCATAGGCAGCTTGCTGGTCATGGAAATAAATAGGTGAAAGGATGTAAGACCAACTTTTGGCATTGTGCAGGTGGGATGTGAGTTCTTGGGGACAATAGGAATTTGATTTTCACAGACAAAGTATTGTTAGAACTTCATGCTAGGTGCTTTCTGTGAAAAGTACTACACAAACCTTACTGAGGAATGTTGAGTTTCGAGATAGATGTGTTGTTTCCATCACCCTTACTTTGTTAACATTTAAGAGATGGCAAACACAAAATTGCTTGTACAAATGGCAATTGAATGCCCGACACATTTATGATTTAATAGTTGCATACATGAACAGCAACACATGTAGCACATATGTAATGTAGTCAAGTCAATAGCACATCCCAATTAACAATTCCTGTAACAAGTCATTTACCAAGTAGCTGGGAATGAAAAAACCAACGAACATGAACGAATGCCTGTGTTGCATTTCACCTTGCAACTTGAAAGGAGACTAGATAGTTTGGAAGTGATCTACGATTTCCCCACATCACACCTCTTACGGCCTTTTTGAATGAGGAGGGCAAATGTTCAATAACCCTGCCTCCCTGCTTCTACAAACTTCCCCTCTCTAGTTATGTCTTCCTCCCCCATTACAAACCCTTCACCCACCTGCCACGTCTTGGGCACCCTGTGCTGAAGCAGAGCCTTGTACATCTCCTCCAGTGTCTCCGACATGACGACTTCCCCCTTGATAGCCAGGCAGAGAGCTGCTAGGCTGGTGTGGATGATGGATAGGAGCCTGTTGAACCGATCCATCTCCTGTCGCAGGACTGTCAGCAGGGCCGAGGGTGTCTCTGGATCTTGATTGAATGGGTCTTCTTGGACAACTGGCGAACAACAAAATTTTCATTACAACATTTGGGAATCTCAAAAATAAAAGATTTTTCAAAAGGGGTTAACATGAACGGAACCTTCAAACTTAAAAATGATTTCATTTAAGAACCAACCAGAACCAAAGGAATCTTGAAAACTTATCACCTCCTTTTTTACAACACAAATTTTACATCCACACACGAAACTCTCCCTTTTCGTCCGTAATGCCTCCTAAGAACTTAATTTTTCATTTGTGCTATACACTGCTCATTGTGGAAGCCTTGTTAAAAAAAAAAAAGTTCATTGTTAAATGACGGCAAAGAACCCATATGTGGTGTGAATGTGCAGAGTGACCAGTGCAAGCTGGTCACTTGGTTATGTGAATATTTTGGGTGGAAATCAGGTGTATGTGTTGTGTATGATTCAAGCAAAAACTCAACCAGCAGCAAGTCAGTTCAGCCAACAAAAATGATCCTACTCAGTAAGGAAGCAAAACGGAGTCTCCAAAAATCTCTAATGTGCAGAGCCTAAAGTAAACAACACCCATCCAGGTTCTCGATCATGCACTGACACAAAATCCTAGAGTGATTTTTTTGTAAAACTCCAACAAGAACTGTCTCAGCATTTTTAACTTGGCACCGCTCTCACCTTTGACTGCGGCCGTTTTCTTGCCCGTGCCGAATCCCGTGGTGGACATCCCATAGCCCAAACCAGGGAACATGCCTTGGGTGTTGGCCCTGGCCCGTTGACCCGTCTCCTTGCTCTCCTTGTCTTTATCCTCATCCCCTTGGATGCTGACAGACAGCTGATGCTGGATGTCGACCGCAAGCTCCAAGACAATCTCATCATCGCTCTTGCCAGTCCTGGGGGGTGGTGATATGAAAAATGATAATCATCCAAATCATGAGCACACAGATCAGAATCAAGATTACCATAAAACTAAGGAAAAACTATTTTCATTGAATATCCTTCAATTACAACCCACACAGTGGTGTCAAGGACATCTGAGTGCTGGTTCATCTTGAATGTAAAAAGGCTTGATAACCAACTTAGTGATTCTTCCTGAAGACAGAAGATATGACATAAAAGTGAATTCCCTCTTTAAATTGTACTGAAAGCAAATTGACTACTTGGCTGACTTTAAATGTATCAATCAAGCCATCAGCTTTAAAAAATAACTTGAAATTGTTTAAAAGAAAACCAAGTTAATAACACGTATACAGAAATGTAAAGCCGATGATTTTCTGCTTCCAAAATCGGTACTCTCGTTTTGCCAAATCCTGATTCCGCTTCAGAAATACAAATTCCGTTTCGTACCTTCATAAGCATGAAAAAGGAGAGCAAATTTTAAACTATGCATGGAAACCATTTGCCCAACCATACTCCCCCAAAAAGAAAGAAAGAAAAAGAACAGGAACAAATATTGTTTGCAAATACTCTACAAAGTTGCCAACTTTTTTTAATTCTCTGCAGTGAAAATTAAAAAAAAACACAGAATAAATATGGCATCACACACCCGATGATTTCCCACCAGAGCGATCGTCAAAAAATTGCTACGATTAATCAACGGACAATTCATGTGTCACTCCTCATGTATAAAATTATATTTAAATACAAGTACAGTGTACATGTGCAGTGGTCATAGAGTACTTTATGTCTTGCATGCAACAGTCGTTGACCACAATGTTGGAGATCAACCCGCCATTTTTATTTGGCAGTTGTGCAACAAAATTCAGAAAGTTAACATTAAATCTGAGCCTTAAAATGTATGTTTGTGACTGAAAACTTTTCGCTTCATTGAACACTTCCGAGGACCCATTCAGTCATGGTACACCAAGCTAATACTAGGTTTCATTTAATTCAAGAAATATGGAATTAGTCTTCCGTTTTGCTGCCGCAGTCTCATCGTTTCACCATGCGGTACTAGCCTTGTTTCAAGGCGTCTATGCAGATTCACAGACTGAATTCCCCACGTGTACAGCAAGCATATGAGTATGAACTTGTTTGCGCATTAACTTCAATGCCAATACAGTGCACTTGTGAGCGGGTACCGTATCGCATCACAGCGCTTGCAATTATCGGTACCGGCGCGGACGACCCAATCATGTGGTGGAGAGGTGCAATTTAGCAAGTTTCCAGCATAATTTGTTTATTAAAAGCAAGCATTTTAAAAGGGTTTGGTAGCCATTTACTTATGATTCTTTGCCGAAAGTTTTCCTTACTTTTGAAGCCATTCTTAGTGGGAAATTTTGCAAATTCCGTTTCCAGCAGTGATTTTCGTTTCAAAGTGTTGATTCTGCGAATTCCGTCTGTTTTCCACGATCGCGGAAAATCATTGGCTTTAGAAACCATCCCTGTCATATATAAGTACATGTGGAATTTAAACTTCTTTCTCCCACTTCAAAATTGTCTGCAGTACTCTCATTTTGAATTTTAAAGTAAGCCAAGGTAACATCATTTATTCCTGTTTCAAGCTACTTATACAAAAATAAATAATAATACACAAATGGAATCTGCAACAGCAATGCTAAATCTCAAGCCGCAGCGTCTCAAAAGCCAACACTTTTCAACCCAACACCAAAACCACCACTCACAATTTTCACTTTGTACCAAGCATGCCGCATGCCTCACGCAGCATCAGCCTGGCGGTTACAGGTCCACTCACCCTATCATCTGAGCTGTCAGTCTGGGCTGCACACTGAGTACAGTATCCATCAGCCTCTTGGTTTGACTCTCTCTATGGGCCTTTTCGGCATTGGAATGCATGCCAAACACCTCCGGGGAATCAGTGTCAGGTAGGCCCTCGATGTATTGCCGACTCTCGGTGATAGAGAAACTGCTCGGCAGGGGGTGGTACACCTAAAAAAATAAAGATGCGTTGGATGATGCTTTGAGGTCTGTAGCAGTTTGATAACTTTCAAAGTTTTTAGTGTAACAATATTTGGAATAAGAGTCCTCTCAGTGACAAATAATTGACAAATAATTTCTTGTATGATTTGAACATTTGCATGGTGGACATAGTAAACACATTAACGGTTTGTAGTAACACCATGTATCACTTTTATGAGTAAGAGGGATTCTGAAAAGAACCGGTGGACTCAATTAATGCTCTGTCTTTCATCAAGATAATTTCTTGTCAAAACTCTTGGGGAAAGTTTTGTTTATAGAACTATTCCATCTATGTACGATTTTACAGAATTTCTTCACCCATTCTTGTGATTGCCTTCCTATTAAGACAATTCTTATTGACTCTAATGTGAATATGCCACTTCAAATTCCCTGAAACATTTCAGTGCTGACCAACAGATGAGGTGCATATGCTCATCCATACAAATGAGGAGAAATATCTTTTAAGAGTGCAACCCAAACAGAAGACTGAAGGCATTCACTGGTGTGGGCCAGTGACTATGGCAGAGGATCAAACAAGTTGGAAATGATCAATCACTAAAACAGGCAAGTTTGCTCCCAAGGTTGTGACCGCAGTCTCACCTTGTCAGGGGAGTAGCCATAAGACGGCTGGAGTGCCTCGGGGCAGTAGAAAGAATTCAAGATGCTGATCAGACATCTCCTATCCCACGAATCTGTCACTCGTCCACCGTAGGCTACCTCACCAGTCAGGTAGCGCAGGGCTTCCCAAGGGGGGTCCTGGTGGGTGGTTAGCAACAGCTGAAGCACTTGGATGGATACCTTAGGAAAGACCAAGAGAAAGCTTTCAGGACTTGTTTGCTCTCCACTGATGCAATATTACGAATGCTGCATGTTTTTCTATGACTTATTATTATTATTTATTTGGTCAGGATACTAGATGTGACAAGATAACACAGAACAATTGGTACAGTATAAAACAGATCAGTACTCCCAGACAGGCCAGGGGCAGCAAAAGCAATAAATTTACTGTGATCCGTAGACCTGCTGCCCCACATGTGGTCATGGATCAATAAAAGACATAGATAAGCTATTTACGGTAAAACATTTCACTATTTAAAATATATCAGAGATCAAAATAAGACACATACTTCAGGGCTTTACACAGACATTAAAAACAGAAATCATACTTACAAATTGCAAGGAAAGGTAATATTAAATGACTTAGGTCCCCCAAAAAAGGGGGAAATAAAATGCAAAATATAAAATGGTGATATGAATAGAGAAAAATGAATAAAAATATGTAGGTAAATAACGGACATATTCATGTACAATTACCCATAAAAAAATTAATGTGGTAATAAAATGGACTTAAAATCAATAAAATGGGCACACTTTAGAGTACATTAAACCCAACAACAGCTGTGAGAAATACAAGATACTTGGATGGGACTGACACAACCAATCTCCTGCTTACTACAGTTCAGATATTTTTTTTCATCAAAGTTGCTGACTGCAGTACTTGTTGCCATATTGAATTTGGACAGACCAGCTGAATGGGGCAAGATTTTGATGGTCAAGCAGTCTGCTAAAGCAAGTACAAAGGTTGCTGGTACAAAAAAAAATCATGCTGCCTGATAAACAAAATCTTCCAAAGCTTCTTCTAACATCGAAAATCTAGCATCTTTGATGTGTGTGAAACAAAAGCGTGTTCAGACTTTTAAACTTTGAAAATGCAACATATTTCAACATCTGCATTACAGGTGAATCCCGTAACCATGGTAATGCTATCATTTGGCGTTTGCTGTGGCCCCCATCAATGGCAGTAAGCACTGTACTCTACAAAGCTGCTGTTCCATGACAGTTGCTCCGCACAATACCCAACACAATGCCTTCCACCATATAAGGAGTATATTGGGAAAGTCCAATGAAATGTTGTTAAATTCACCTAAATGAACACTGCTGAAGGACATGGCCAACAGTAGTGAAAGCTTGTTTGACACTCCATTCAATGAAATAAAAATCCTGAATCATTTTCAAGGTACTACGGTCTCTTGTACTTTGCCTTTTGGCCTGACAATACCCACCTCCAAGTCCGAAGCACTGAACTCATAGATGATGTTCCAGCCCAATGCTCCATACTTCCTTCTCTCGTTGATGACGGCATTGAAGAAGCAGAGACCAAAGAGCAAGTCCCTCCAGGCAGGGCCAGGGGAGGTACTATCCCACAGGTCCTCCGAGACAGTGCTGCTCAAGGAACGCAGGAGGTTAGCCTTCAGACCCTGGGGAGATTCCACTGTCATCTAGCCAGGAAAGTCAACATTGGAATATTGTTACAACTAAATACTCCCAGACTAACTCTCATCCCATTAAAATGGGACCCATCATCCCAAAACCAGGCTGAAGTACATGTACGTCACTTCATAACCCTAAAATAGTGGAACTTCCACTGATCAGATTTTCATGGGGGTTTTACAGCTATCACTACCTGTAAGAAGCTCACTGCAGGCAGAATTTCGATTTAACATGGATCAATTTAAATTGTAAAAAAAAGCTGAAAGAGAGGTATTATCCCACATCACAAGTACCAACTTCAGCCTGGGTCAAAAACGGTATTCGGTCATTAGAAATATCACTCTGGGAAAGGAACTACTTTATAAGAAAGACAAAACTGCAGATATAGAAAGTTCTGTTTGAAAAAGAGATCTTTAAGGACAGAATGCAAACAATGTGTGAACACGTTTTCAGTTGCACCAAAATTTTCCAATAACTATTACAGTGTGTGAAGGATATTACAAAGAGTGTTAATAAGGACAAGGCAAGCTACAAAGCAAAACTCTTTAATACACACCAGTAATAAACAGCTCAGTAAATCGACCTTAATGGTAGTGTTTTGCAACAACCATAGGTGTAAATGGAAATGTAGGGCTGTGCCCAATATCCGAATATTCAATCAATTGTCGAATATTTGAATATCATTTTTCGAATTTGAATATTCAAATGCAAATTCATCTAAAGGAAAAGAAAATTTTCTTTTGTTTTAAATGTTTTTGTTTTAAATGAAAAAAATTGCACTATGGAGGCTTGTTTCAAGCATATTCAAATGAAAAGCGTCAGAAATCTTACAACGATTTAAAACTATTCATTAACAATCTAATAGGAATAGAAATTTACAGCAGGACAAGAAGTATTGTTTTTCTCTTAAATCTTGCTATTTCGTGGCGGGAGATATTCCTAGGTATGAGAAGCTCTTATACTGATCATAATGAACAAATGTGTGTTATTGCAACTAATTTTATATATGGTTTGTTCATCAACAATCTGCCAGTCGGTGCGTCCGAATATTTGGATATTCAATCAAATTGAAGGTCAAATATTTGAATAGTGAATTATTCAACTTGACTCAGCCCTATGGAAATGCAATCATGATCCTGAGAAAAAGTTGGTTTCGTCAGAAGTTGGAAACAAGGAGTGGGAAGGGGCAGGATGTGGGGGGGGGAATAAGCTTACCTTCATTCCTGTCTGTAGGATGCTCACAGGGAAACATGGGTCTGGCTTAGAGCTCAGCCAGAGTCGAAACTGGGGATCTATATCAGCGTTGGGCTTACTGAATCTATGTGTACGGACAAAAAAAGGCCCAGTCATTTACACGTGAGAGCCAGTTACAAGAGTACTTATGGCCTTTTTCTATTCTGGCTAAGCTGATTAATATCTTAGCACTGGTGGTCCTCTGTACCAAGCTTTTGAAATATCACAAACATGCTCGCAACAGACCATGTTGTATTTGATGTAGCTTGGCCCACAGGCAAACACAGTCTCAGTTCAAGAAAGACCCTGTAGGACTGTGTCTACTACTTTCTACCTTGAGCTGAGACCACGTTTGCCTGTGGGCCGAGCTACATCAAACCATGATCAAACACAACATGGTCTGGCGAGTGTGCCATATTGCATGTGCTGTCCGTTATGTACACTGTACATGTTACCATTCTGGAGATGACGTCATCCAATCAGCCCGTGAGCGCGAGTGGCCAAAGGGGAGTTTTTGTGGGCGAGGAAATACAGAATCTTTTTATTCATTTTGGGGTCACAATTAATGGGGTAAACATTAAATTTGTGATGTGTTTTAAATGGTTACATATTTATTGTTATTTTGAAATAATTCACATGAACTAAATGTTTTCAATTTCTGTTACCCTTTAACATACACATTCACATAGATAAGTTTATCCAAGGTACAGAATCGGAAGCTGTCTGAGGCAACGTCAAACCGAGCACTGTTGTTTTATCGGCTACGGCTATCTGACATGCTGTGGCAACTGCAAAAGCTGAAAACACAGCCACGCAACAACCAGTGTAAGCAGCCATTCCTGGGTACAGGGCAAAAGGGGGGCGAACTGACCCAACCTACCCTTCCACTATGGCCTGCAGTCGTGGCATGAATGATGCGGCTAGGTGGCAGTTTTGCAGGAACACCCATCGCCCCTTCAGTATCTGAGCCTTGGCGATCAGTTCCTCTGCCTTGGGCCCCTGGCCCCGGCCCAGGGAGATCATGTCCACGTGGAGAGTGCTGCCCCGCTGTTCACGGGCAAAACGCATCAGCTCGGCTGTTGGGTCTACACCTGAGGCAACAGAGCAGGATATAATAACAAAGCAAAGACATCAGGAAAGCCAGACTAACGAGGTATAAGGCAAACCACATAGCACTCAGGCTGACGGAAGCAAATAACCCAATCAACCAAAAAGCCATTCATCAAACCAACCAACCAACCTACCAACCCTAATTAACAAACCACATCGGTAACTGAACAAACCAACCCAAATGACCAGCCTAACCAACCAATCCTCCAGAGAACCCTAACTAGCCAACACTAACAAGCCCCCAAGCAACCTAACAACCAATCCAACAACCAACCCCATTACTAAATCAAATTAACAAAACCAACAAGCGACTAACCAAACAACCAACCAAACTATGCAACCCTGTAACCAACCCATCTACAAACCAAGAGGTCCATGATGAACCCATCTACCAACCAGCCATCAATCCCACCAAACCAGCCCAACAAGTTTCCCCGTCAGCACCTTACCCGGCGACAAGATGAATATGAGCGGGTGCTTAGCGCTAGACTCATCAAACACTTCTTTCATATCAAACCCGCCAGCTGACAGGAACTTTGCCCCCATCAAATCCTCTACAAACATGCGGATTGATGACACCAGGGCATCCGGACGCAGCACTGAGATGAGAATGAGACGCTGGAAAGGCTGGAGAACTTCCCAGTTGAAAGGGTTGCCCAAGGAACGGTTGGCGTCTGGAGGAACAGGGCCTAAGATAACAGCAACAATCAAAAGGAACGGGTATGACGGCAGAGCAGGGTGCTGCTAACAAGACTGCAGGGTAGGGTCTGGTAGAGGAGCAGATAATGCATGAAATAGTACATGATATGTCATGTATAGCACCTGAAGGTGTGTGCAAACATTACAAAAACACACTGCAAAAGCTACAGCATATCAGCAGTATTGCTTAAAATAGCAGGTGCAATAAACTGTTGGTTCCCCTCACAAAAACGTCATCCAATATTATGATGGGAATAAATATGTGCTTGGTTGGATTCATTAAAGTCCGGCCCAGGACAATGGATGTTCCTACTCTTGGCATGGGCCATTATCAGCATCCATTCTCCTGAACTGGCCAAGGACATATCTATTTCCATTCGTCTGAGTACATGCCTTCTCAATCAGAAAGTCCAAATTCAAAAAAGTCGTAAATTTCCACTGATATTGTTCGACAAGTCTACTTCAGTTATTTCAAACACCTCTCTCACCATGTAATAGTACTGTACATGTACAGGTGCCTCCAATGAGTTGATGCTTCATTAACTGTTTAAAACCGGTCATATGACCGGCTCTCAATCACTCAATGACTAAATTGTCTTAAAGGAACCAGGAAATGAATTTTTCTTAGAATCCTTTTTGTGTATCTCTGTACTCTTCTTCCATGTATGGAGACTGTTTGACATCTTTTTTTGAGTTACGTGAACTGAACGGTGCACTTTTTGAAACATTAAAAATTGACAAAGCACTTCTAGACAAGTGAGGGCGCATTTGCTTTGATCTAAATCCAGGAAGGCATGGTTCAGGCTGTATGTTTTCGTGTTCAAATTTTGGAACCCAAATTTGCTGTCTGGAAACATTTCTGTGAAAAGGATTTTTGTTTGATTATCGCCATGTATACTTACACATTAAAAATATCTCGAAATTTTATGTGCACAAATCAGTGCAACATTGAGATTCAGTGCCTTGGATGACATCATAGTTCTGCTCATGAATATACATGTATGCAAATATGCATTTCATGAATATTGTTTAACAGTCTGATGACTTAACTTCCAGGCAAACTTGAATTGGATCACCAAAATCAAATTTTTTTGATTAAGCATCCAAATTTCCACAGTTTAGACGTGTTTCCAAAATGTAGCCATGCATGTGTGCCCCACCAAAATGTGTGATTACGCACATAGGTAGTTCTATCTCATTTGTCTCCACACACTGAAAGAATACATGTAAGTACATGTGGCTACCGGTACATAAAAGACTTGTGTAGTACACATACATGTAAAGGTAGCTCCATATCCAGCGATAGTCTCTGATTGTGCAATTACTTACACGTGGCTCTCAATTGTGAGTTTCCATGCATTTGACTGGCAGGGAACCAGTGAAATTAATTTAAGCGGACATCAAATGTAGTGTTGACCTCATCCAGGTAATATCCAAGTCATGTTGTTCCAAAACTACACATTTCACTTACTTTAAGAGTTTTCATACAGAGAAGCCTAATATAAATTATATGGCGTTTTTGAAACGAGTGGATTCGGCTTGGAATTTGGTTTTGCTGGTTCTAGCCATTTTGAAGCAGCATTCAAAACTACATGTTAAAGCTCTGACTACAACCAGCAAAACTGAATTTAAAGCCGAATCCACTTGTTTTGAAAATGCTCATAGTTTAGAATACATGTACATGTATCTCAGGTAAGAGAAACATACATGCACCAAATAAACTTGATGTAACAAAGCTTCTGAAAGTGTTTGATATATCCTAGGCCATCCTAGATCCTGGATCTGACACTCATAAGACAACCAAAGTCAGTTTTTCTCTAAATTACCTCTCACTTGGTGTTCGGATTGAAACTTGCTGGCAATCAACCTGTATGGATCCTCAGCCTTAGCGAATGCCTGCCACTGGTCCACACAGTTCAAGACATACATGCAGAGCCCACTGAAAGCCCCCAAGGTTGCAGACAGGTACTGGCACTGCCGCCAGGCTTTCTCCGGAATCCACTTGGGCGGCACGGAGGTGTGGCCCCCGGTCTGGCTGGGCCGGCTGTCCACGGAGGAGGCAGAGACAGAGGAGCGGTGGGAGGCAGCACTGGCGATGCGGCTGGTGGCACTGGAGGCGCGGTTGGCCGCCTCCAGCCGCTGCATTGGGGTGAGCCCGTCGTGCCTCTCCAGGACCTCGGGATCCATGCTGGCTGCCAGCACCCCGCCCTGTAGGAAGACCTGCCACTCCTTCAGGGAGATGCAACCCATCTGGGTCAGGCCGTCCGGGGGACCAGCAGAGTCGGTCACGTGGGCATTGGAGCGCATGATGCTGGTGCACAGCATGAAGGAGAAGACCAACTGGTGGTGGGCAAAGAGGGCTTTGGAGACCACTCTGAAAAATATCCAGAAAATAAGATCCACGCATTAATCAGGGGTGTACCATGGTAACTGAGGTTAATTTTGATCAGGGAGATACATGTATCTCAGGAAGGGACCTCATTTTTGGAGGGCACGCTCAAGCTGAGCTTGGGATTATTTTTTCTTTCTCCAAAGTTGGCCATGGGGAAGGAAGGACAGGGCAGGCCAGGCATGTACCAAGAAGGCACTG